ACCAACATTAAAACATAGCTGAAATGATTGGACTGGTCCGTTTATCAATTAGTCTGGGGACATAAAATAAACTGGCAACACTTTTTTTTTGTCATTTCATTTTTCATGTAAAAATAATTCAGGGTTCCAGCTTTAAATGTGAAGATCTGCTGCTTTTCCCTTTAATTATTTTAATTCTTTTAATATATTCTGGATAATTTTCATGGTTGGACTGGTGGTTTGACAAAATAAACATTGTGAAGGTATCACTTTGGGTAATTGTGGTGGCATTTCTAACTATTCACTATTTTTTTAAAGATTTTTTTGGGGTATTTTTAGCCTTTAATGGATAGGACAGACAAGTGTGAAAGGGGGTGAGAGAGAGAGAGAGAGAGAGAGAGAGGGACATGCAGCAAAGGGCCACAAGCTGGAGTCGAACCCAAGCCGCTGCGGCAACAGCCTTGTACATGGGGCGGCTGCTCTACCACTAAGCCACCGATGCCCTGCTATTCACTATTTTTACAAATCAAACAATCAATTGATAAATGGGAAAAAACAGTCAGCAAGTTGAATATCCATCAAGTCCATATTGAAAATATTGATCAGTTGCAGTCCCAAAGAAAATGTACTAAGTACTCCACATCAACCAGCTACAGTGAAATCCTGCTTTTATTATTTTATGTATACAAATGCATGAATAACAATAATCTAATGATGTAATATGTAATAATATAAAGCACTCACTCTGCATTAAGTACTTTTAGTTACAAGACTTCGTTGTCCTTACTATAGGCACATACCTGGGTAAAATTTTCAGTGCAGGAATTTTACTTTTACTTTACTGAAGGATCTGAAATCTTCTTCCACCACTGCTGAAACTCTTATTTTAATGCCTCTCCCACCCCCAAAACCCCCAAACACTAAGTGGGAGCATTGTTTCTGCAGCAGGTACCAGCTGATATCAGTTCATTTTTCATTTTGCCCTGAATAACATATTGGCATTTTTTTCTGTTTTGGCGCAGTGAAGCAACAAAACATCAAAATAAAATTCACTGAGCCAGGTTAAGTATCACTGGCTGTGCTAACATGACACTGCCAAATGTCATTCCACTTTTATTTTGAAGTGAAAATCAACCATAGTTCCGGTCCTATCCTGGCTATTTTTGGAAGCTGAGCTAAGCTGTTATTCAGCATTTTCCCTCTGTCTTAATTGGCCTTTGACAGCATATGAACTGTGAGGTGATGGCAGTGCTCCCATGGGGGGTGGCACAAATACTGGGACCCCGTGCACATGAATGTAAGTGCACCCCCCTGCCCCCACCTCCACTTTCAATACATCTATTCTCAAAATTAATAAATCAACAACAAAGATACAGTCGGTGTGTGATCATAGTTGGGGGGCGTGGTCAGCATGGAGGAAAACAGTCCTTTCCCCCAGCCCAGGGGCGGAAATCCCGGGGGGGACAGGGGGGACATGACCCCTCCTGCAGCAAAGCTGTACCCCCCCTAGAATAATTTGAGACACAATTAATAATTTTTGAACAATGCAGTAGTATTTATTGAAAGCACAATGTAAGCGGTGCTCATTATAATTGCGCAATAATGTGCTATTTAAATCTTAAAAGATTTAGTCCCCCCCTCCCATTCCTAGTAGTGGTATATCCCACACTCTTTCCAACGGGCGGGGCTGCTTGGCAGCAGTAGCAGTGGCTGGAACCGCTGCCCACATCGCGCATCGCAGGGTAAGATGTTCACTCACACAGAAACAGTTTAACTTAGGCTACACAAGTTACAACACATCCCATTTACTGTTACAACAAGCCCCAGGCCCAGGCTGATAATATAAACTGTCTACAACATTTCTCCTGCATTGTTTAAAAGCCTACTCAATTACGAGTGCTGCTAAGCTAAAAGCTAATGATTAAGCTCAGAGTTTAGTGATAGAGAGGACAGGACAAGAGCAGTCAGTGGCGGAGCGGCTCGTAGCTAATGGGTACCTGTCTGTAGGCTCTCCACCTGTCAGTGAGACAAACATGAAAGACGTGCAGTTTAACCGTTGAGGAGCGGTCATTACCCATGACTATTATGCACGGTTGTGAGGTGCGCAGCACACTGTTTATAAACCAGTTTACCAGTTTAATTGCAGGAAATGTTTAGTTGTTAAGCCATTTCTCATAAGTATAGACATTCACTGTATATCCACTTTTCTACATGTGGCTGCTGCTGGCTTGAGTCTTGACTCTCTTGTTATCAATAACTTGCAATGCTGAGATAAATGTTTAAAGTCCAAAAAAAATAATTTATTATGAACAGGTCAATAAAACAGGTTTCAAAATTCAAAATACCTTGTAAACAAATGAAATATTCAGTATTACACATTTTTTTGGTTACTTTTCATTCAAACATTTTTTAAAGTTATGATCTCACTGCCGGTAAAAAAAACAGAAACCCAAACGGTTTGCTCCTGCAGCCACACACCTGAGCCAGAGAAAAAAGAGGGAGAGAAGGAGAGAGATCGAGTTTCTGTCTTTGATGAATGAAGCCTTATTGTTTTGCTGCTATTAAACAATGAGAGACATGTTTTCTCCGTTTACTTAATAGCATAAATATTCACACTACTGCGCACGGGGAGACAGAGACCTGTTCTGCTCCAGACACACTCAGCACCTTGGACAGCACAACGCACCTGACTGTTGTCAATGTGTACATGTTAATTTGATTTCAGTCATTTTGTTTTAAATCTGGACATGTGCAGGTGGACTCAGCCAGTGCTAAGAAAGGTCCTATGCCTGCCTGTTGGAGAGATAGAGAGAAGATTAAAGCGTCAAATTGCGGTAAAAAATGCTGTATAACAGACAGGCTACAACTTTTCTTCCTTGTCCCCCCCCCCGAAATTATTCTCTAAAATTTTACTGTTTATTGTCCCCCCCAACTAAGAAATGGGATTTTCGCCCCTGCCCCAGCCTGTAGGCTAAATGCTGGCAAGTGCGGTTTTTAAAATCACATGAAACCCAGTTCAGAACAAAGATTCATGACGAGATGAGGCAGCTACAGGCAACTACTTGGCATGTGCTGATTCACACAATGCAACTGGATGAGACAGTGTATCATATCTATGCAACAACTCTCTGTACTTCAGTTCTGATTTCCAGCTTTTCAAGCTTATTTTGTGGCTCTCTATATGTTGTAGCTTCTTAAAATATGAATGAAGATAGTAATAGTGAGATACTGGCCACAGTTGCATTTGTGGTCGTGATGAAATGGCGAGAAACAACGAGCAGCAGCAGCAACCCAGCGTTTGACACTGGAGCACCTGCCGCAGCAAGCGAACACGCCATCTGCGGTCATTTTGACTTGACTGGTGACTCCACCACAGGCCGATTGGCTGTTGAAACAGGTGACATGCTTTACATTCTTAAACCAGCGGCCAATGACTTAACCAGCTGATTTGCAGGTGACATCGGCCGGCTTGAGTCGAGCTGGCCAGCCAGTTCACACCACTGCAGCTTTTCTTTTTACATTCTAAAGTGGTTTCATCTCATCTCGAATCATGGGTGTGAACACTATTACATTTACAAAATATGAGTAAATTTACCCTAATGTCAGTACCCTATGACTCTATGATGTAATAGACTAGCATCCTGTTTTACTGAATTCTGTACATGTTTCAAGACAGTAGAGCAGCACTATCATACTAAACACCATTAGCCTACATTTTGACAATGTGCTATAATGTTATCACGCAGGGAATTGTAAACCCCGAACAACTACAGGTCCTTGGAGGCTCTCAACTTTTTCTAGTGGCTAAACAATTTAATACTGTTTGGATAAAGCACTAGATCCCTTGTGTTTATCCAGAAACAGCCCCAAAATCACTATCGCCAAACCCACCAGACACTGTGTAAATAAACAGTAACTGTAGTGTGAATAGAGCCAGCAAATTTTCACATCTAACTGTGCGAATCAAAACAGACAAACAGAAAAACAAACTAGGATGGTTTCTGTGAGTTTTATTTTGTTTCCATCGACTTTGAATGAAGCATGTGTTACAAAGATAAAATTACTGTATATTTAGATGTCTGGTGTGTTGCGATAGTGATTAGTGATTATGGGACTGTTTCTTTTTAAACAAAAAGGATCTTTCTCTTCACCAAAAAGGTTTGTTTCTGTATGGATCCTTTCCACAATCTTGTCAGACATTAATCTTAGCATGTCTGTGGCAAAAACGGGCACTTGTGTTTTACATTGCAGCCTGACTGCTCAGTACTGGACCAGTGTCAAAAAATGTTGTTTCCATTAATCACATAAAC